GCTTATCAGTGCCAGAATGAAAAAGAATGTCACAAATGGATTCAAGGTAATTTAGAGCACAGCAGTCCTGCCTGCTGGGAAACCAGTGGGGAGAAGGGTCTTTCACCATAATGCATGGAGACTGTGCTGCAAAGAGAAACCTTTAGTGCTCCCCGCAGAAAGAGTTGGAAATCCAAAGCCATCATTATCTCTAGAATCCATCATGCTCTCCAGGAAGGGCATCAGAAGTCCTTATGGCCATATTTGTCATCTTCCTTTCCAACTATAAAAGGAGCTCTGTTTCATTACATGCTTTTCTTAAGGTGCCCAAACTGCTTACACCCCTTTCTGGATGATAGGTGAAGTCAATCCATTTCACAGTTCACACTATTGTGGAAACAGTGGGAAATCAGAACCAAAGGGATCTCTATGCATTTCCAGTTTATTAGTCTGTGACACTAGGTACCTAAATGGGAAGTTGCAAGATCCTGTTGAGGAGTTTTCAACTTGCTATGGGAGCAGGGATGGGGGCTCTGATGATGGTGTTACTCGATTTTTATTGGTCAGCTTGTGCTGCCTAACAAAATCTCACAGACTGAGTAGCTGAAACTGCAGCCATTTATTTCTCACAGTTTTGGAGAATTTGGGTGGAGCAGATCAGAGCAATCTAGTAATTTGTACTGACTTCCTATTTTTGTCTTGAGGGAAGAAAACCACTGTGATAAGAAAAGTTTTTATCTTTTGAGGCTTTGTTAATAGATAGCAATTAGCAAAATGAAAGTGCTGAAAGATCATTAAGTTTAAAATATTGACCATAGAATTGCAATTAAGTTAGTATATTTAAGTCTCATACTAAGTGCCTAAGAAGAAGAATGTTTTTATGAAATTCTTTTTTAATGATAAATAGGGAGGACCAAGCAAGGATAAAAGATGTTCTTGACAGTAAGCCCAGAACAAATGGATCAGAAAGATGTAATGGAGCTGAAAATAGAACCACATGTGTATACTGAAAAGGCTCAGTGTTCCAGGAAAGACCAATGATAAGAATATTACACTGAATCCCATCCTGTCAAAAATAGCTAAACATATAATTACAGAGATAAAGGGGGAATTTCATATGTGTTCACACACTAGAAAGATAATTCTGACTGAAATCAGACAGTAGAGTTGCAGAACAGAATGCTCAAAGACAATGGAACAAAGTCTAAATCAATTTTGAAGGTGAGAAATTGTGATAAAATACATATTGTAGCACAATATGTTGTTAGTTAATGAAAACAACAGAAGACATTCTGAGATATGCGAAGAAAACTTAACAGCCACGTGCCCATCTTTTAAAGTTACTTAAAAATATACTTTAAAAATATACTTCTGTTGACTACAGAAAGATGCATCAAAAAAAGAAGTATGGAGATGCCATGGCAAAATAAGACCAGTGGGGAAGCTTAAATAGTAAGAACAGAAAACATTACTGTTGTTCTCAAAAATCACTGCAGATGGTGACTGCAGCCATGAAATTAAAAGACACTTGCTCCTCGGAAGAGTAAATATAACAAACCGAGATAGTATATTAAAATACATAGACATCATTTTGCTGACAAAGGTTCATCGAGTCAAAGCTATGGTTTTTTCAGTAGTCATGTACGGCTGTGAGAGTTGGACCATAAAGAAGGCTGAGTGCGGAAGAATTGAGGCTTTCACATTGTGGTGCTGGAGAAGACTCTTGAGAGTTCCTTGGACAAAAAGGAGATCAAATCAGTTAATCCTAAAGGAAATCAACCCTGAATATTTGTTGAAAGGACTGATGCTGAAGCTGAAGCCCCAGTACTTTGGCCACCTGGTGTGAAGAGCTGACTCATTGGAAAAGACCCTAATGCTAGGAAAGACTGAGGGCAGGAGGAGAATGGGGTGCAGAGGATGAGATGGTTGAATGGCATCAGTGACTCAATGGACATGAGTTTGAGCAAATTCTGAAAGACAGTGAAGGACAGGGAAGCCTGGTGTGCTGCAGTCCATGGGGTCGCAAAGAGTTGGACACGACTCTGATGGAACAACAGGGCAACTCTAAATCTGACTGTGGCAATATACAAAACCTGCAGACCTATCTCATTTATAAATACAAATGCAAAAACCTAAAAAATACCCTGTGCAATGGTATATTAGATACATAACAGAAACAAAAATTCCACACAAATTTAGAATTCAACTTAGTTTTTTTTCATAGTATTATGAATGTAGAAATTCTGAAAATATTGTTGTGGTAGTTTAGATTTGAGAAAATGAGTAAACGTACTGTGAGGGACAGACACAGATATTGCCTGTAGGAAGACATGGGAGAAGCCTGTGGTGTTGGATGGGAATAGAGGGATATAATATTTATAAATCATTGGATTATCAAGGAATGGTCTCTGTCCTACCAACACGCAGCTGATTGGATTTCTGAATTGCTATGGACCAGTGACTGCTCTATATTATCCATTTCCCCCTGTTTGAATGCAATTGTCTATAGCCTGTGTCATCATTATATTTAGAAAGAGGGGGAGGCTAACTTGTCCTTCAGTTCACAAGTCTTTGGTTCCACAGAAGGTGTACCTACAGGGCTACATCCAATGAACCACATCTAAGGAACTTACCTGATTTGAACCTGATTTAGATGATGAGGTCCTGGACTTTGTTCCAGTCCTGCAATGAGTGAGACTTATTGGGATGGGGGGGGGGGAGGTGAGTGTCCTCTGCATGTGGGAAGGATGTTAATTGCTGTGGTCAGAGTGTAGACTATGGTAGGCTGTTTCTGAAGACAGTGGCAACATTTCTTGCCAAATAACATTCCCTTTGAAACATGGCTTTGCCATTTATCCTATCAAGAGGTACAGCCTATTTCCCCTCCTTTTGAATTTGGCCTGGTGATTTGCTTGGACTGATGGTATGTGGCAGAAGTAACACTATACAAGCATGAAGGGGCTTGGTCAATACCATGTGGAATAAAGATAAGGCATCCACGTGAAGCTCTTCCTAAATTTCTGGCCCACAGACTAGTGAACAATAAGATGACCACTCCTTGAACTTTGGGGTCATTTGTTACACAGCAATAGGTAGCTAATATGCTATCAAAGAGCCCTGGGGTCATTTCAAAAGAACTCAGGAGCCAACATGAAGAGACTCTCACTCACTGATAAGCAATTTGAGCAGCAATAAAGATATTAACTGCAATGGTTTGGAGCGCATTAAATATTTAAATCCACGAGCTCAAGATACTTTATAGGAAAAAAAAAACCCTCCGTGTCTATCTTTATAGGCTATTAGGGAAACAACTCATTAACGTGAACATTTTAAATAAAGAATACAGAACTTATCCTTTATTTCCTATACAAACTGTACTTCAAGCTAACCTAATAATATTGAAGGGAGTCCTTTGCAGAAGAATTCTAACTAATAAATATAGAAGGAATAGAGTGCTTGTGTGCTCAGTCATGTCCAGCTCTTTGCAACACTTTGGGGTATAGCCTGCCACTGTCCATTGGATTTTTCAGCAAGAATACTGGAGTGGGTTACCATTTCCTCCTCCAGGGGATCTTCCTGACCCAGGGATCAAACCCGCATAGAAGGAGTAACAGAATCTAAATATCATCATTTTGCAAACCCTAATGAATTGGGTTTAGGCAATAAGCATCAGTGGCTGCTAAAATCATTAGGGGAAATGGTGATGTGTAACAGACGGGTCAGGCTGATAACACCTGAAACTGCTTAAGATCTTAACACTAAAAATGAATACACAGATCCCCCCTGGAAAGTCTCTATACTCAACAGTCAACTTGAAACAAACCTTCCCCAAACCTGAATCTAAGTAAGCCTCTAGATCTAACTGTTAGGTCTAAAAGAAATGCCAGAGAGAAAAAACACATGCCACTAAGAGCATGAGGGATTCCCTCGTAGCTCAAATGGTAAAGAATCTACCAACAATGCAGGGTTCAATCCCTGGGACAGGAAGATCCCCTGCAGAAGGGAAAGGCTGTCCACTCCAGTATTCTTGCCTGGAGAGTTCCATGGACAGAGGAGACTGGCGGTCTATAGTCCACGGAATTGCAAAGAGTAGGATACCACTGAGCAACTAACACTTTCACTTTCACAGGAGGATGTAGAAAAACCCAGAATATGGGAATTCCAGTCTAGTGGTTAGGACTGTGCTCTCACTTCAGAGGGCACAGGTTCGATGTTTGGTCAGGGAACTAAGATCCCACAAACCAGGCAGCATAGCCAAAAATGAAAACAAAGAACTAAGGCTCCAATACTTTGGCCACCTGATGCGAAGAACTGACTCATTGGAAAAGACTCTGAAGCTGGGAAAGATTGAAGGCAGGAGGAGAAGGGGACAACTGAGAATGAGATTTTGGATGGCATCACTGACTTGATGGGCATGAGTTTGAGCAAGTACTGGGAGTTGGTGATGGACAGGGAAGTCTGGTATGCTGCAGTCCATGGCGTTGCAAAAAGTCAGACACGACTGAGCAACTGAACTGAACTGACGGTCCCACAAGCTGCATGGTGTGGCCAAAAGAAGGAAAAAGAAAATTCCAGAACATGAAAAATTTTTTAGGGCAAAGACCCCAGGTTATCCAATAAGTAGACAGCAAGGAAGAAAGGAAGTGGGGGATTTACAGATGAAAAGAACCTTAAGAGACAGATTAGCTAAATTCAGTGTGTGAAAGTAGTTAGGATACCAATTTAAACAAATCACTTGGAAAAGGATTTATGAGACAATGAAGAGAATGTGAACAGTGGTGAGGTATTTAATGGTATTAAGAAACTATTCAATTTGGGGGGGGGGGAGTGAAATACAAAAAGAATAAAAGGAGGTGGAGGACATGATGATTCTACGTAGAGTCTGGATTTGAGTGAAGAGGACAGCCAATAACATCCCAGAGTCGTTGGCAATCTAAGGATGGCCAGGTTATCATTATCTGGATCCTGAAGCTGGGATGCTTTAGTTTATCCAGAACAGGATCAAGGATGAGCCTGGAAGCTGTTCTCACTGGCTTCATGAAAAATAAACACTTCTTTGAGGTTCTTTTCAAATTCTGCCTCTAAATCCAGTCCTACCTGACCAAAGTCGGAAGCCTGAAAGAGAGAAAAAAAAAAAGCAAGTACACAGGGGCCTAAAGACAGAGAATTGGGATCATAGATCACTCATGCTTTCTGAGGAGATCTGCTCTCCCCGCCCAAAAGCTGCATGCCCCCAGGTGGCAAGCAGAACAGGGCAGGAGGGAGAGGCTGCCACTCAGATGTTCAAATGCATGAGGCTCTGCCTGGTTGTTAACCTGGACCCAACAGGTGGTCTGGACCAAAGAGCTGATTTTGACCCCTGCAAAGCCTAACCTTGGGGTAAACCAGATAAAGCTTTTCTGGAAAGCACATTCTCTGAAGGAAAGATGACCCCTTCCATTCTCCAAGGCTAAGACTGTGCCAGGCATTGAAGGGCTCCCTGGGTTGATTCTTTCCCCCTCCAGCTCCACGGTTGGACACCAGTTTATAGTCTGTGACTCATGAATACGCCAACTAGTGGCAAGGAGGGAGGGAAGGAGGCTGGGTGGAATTGAGAATTAGCTTTATATATGTCCCAAGAAATATCTGGACAAGTGAGAGTTAAAAATCAGAGTAAACGCAATAAACTAAAGTTAAGAATGCCTTGGATTGCAATACAGTTCAACCAGTTGCTCTTCCTATCAATGAAAGATGAAATCAACACCAACTGAGAGCAAATCTGGGTGTTTGGGTCCACTGGGAAACTCAGGAGTAAAAAAATCCGAGCATGAGCATCCTGAAAGTTTAATTCATTTCATCTTAATTAATTCATTTCTGTATTTCTGAGGCATGAAGGACCATGTAAGCATAAACTGCCTACCCCCGTCCCCGCCCCACCCCATTTGAACAAGGAAGCAGGATGAAATTGACCATTCTCAGTGGGTATGGCCTGTCCTTCTGGGACTGAAGATGAAATTTTTTTTCAGGTACCATTTACCAGGACCCTGCTTGCTGTTTTTTTTGACATCCTCCTCTCCACCTCTGGGGCTTCTCTGGTGGCTCAGTCGTAAAGACTCCACCTGCAATGTGGGAGACCTGGGTTTGATCCCTGGGTTGGGAAGATCCCCTGGAGAAGGGAATGGCTACTGATGACAGTATCCTGGCCTGAAGAATTCCATAGATTGTATAGTCCATGAGGTCGCAAAGAGTCAGACACGACTGAGTGACTTTCAGTTTCTTTCTCCACCTCTGAGATTGGGAGACAGCTTCCTTCTATAATTCTTGCTTTTTGAGCTCTCCCCAGGACAAGACTAGGCACGATTCTTGCAAAGCTCTGCTGTCCCAGAAATGAGGAGGAAGTAGAAAGGATGTGAAAGGGAGGCAGGAAATTCCCTTTACCTTGTAAAATGTTTTGTGGTTGTGAAATATCAGACGCATGTCCCGTAAAAACCAAGCCATTGTGTACACTTTCTCAGTCAGCCTTTCTTTAACCAGGTCCAACCACATGGCTTCCCTAAAGGGCTCACCATAATCTCGAATCTAGGGGCAAAGACATCAAAGAGGTGATGTGAGCACAGGCAATGTCACTGGAATGGATCCAACACCAGCCTTTTTTGCAGGGTAATACCCAAGTGGCTTAGTGGGTAAAGAATAAGCCTGCCAATGCAGGGGATGCAGGCAGATGGGAGTTCGATCCCTGGGTTGGGAAGATATCCTGGAGGAGGGCAGGGCAACCCACTCCAGTATTCTTACTTGGAGAATCCCATAGACAGAGGAGCCTGGTGGGCTACAGTGCATAGGGTCTCAAAGAGTTGGTCTTGACTGAAGCGACTAAGCACATATGCATGCACTGATAATGATATCTGATGTCTATGTGCCAGGCATTGTTCTAAGCACTGCCAATACATTAATATATGAACTCCACAACAGCCGTAAGAGATTGTTACTATAATCACCCCAGTTTTATTGATGAGAAACCAGGTAATGGAGAGGTTAAGTAACCTATCCAAAATTTCACAGCTAAAAATTGGTTGAGTTACATTGAACCCATAGTTCAAGTCTCCTGAGTCTGTACCCTCAACCCTATGCTCTCTATAAGAAAGACATTCCCATTGAAGAGAAAGAGAAACTAAGATACTGTGTCCCAGAGCCGGTATGCAATGCCTGCGAAGCAGGCAGCCCCACTCTAGAGCCTGCAGCTAAACCTTCCACCCTCGAGGAACAGAGATGCCCGCAGGACGCACACTCCACATTTCTAAAATGAGTTTAACAGCAGACGGATGCCCAGAGGATGAAAAATGTCGAACAGAACTTACATTAAGTGGGGTCTCCGCAAAGAAAGAGCTTTGTGGATGACAGTAGGCTTTCAAGAGGAGAAACTCACATTTCTGTAAAATACGAAGAGGGATTTAAAGGCAAATGCAGTTTGGAGAAAGTGAGGCCAAGCCTTTGCCCAGAAACCACACACAGGAGCAGCCAGACACAACCAGCCTTCCAACTGCATCTGCCAAGGTGCCGTGGTGGGGAGGTGGATGTTGAATTCTGTCTGTCCTCCACGTTTGGGCACTGAAGCTCCATCCTCGGAAGTGAGACACTGAAGGCTTTCTTTGGGTGCCTTTCCCTGGACCCTCTGCCTGTTTGAGGGGAAGGTGAAGGCTTGGGTCCCCATCCCACTCACCAGCTGCTCCCCCGGCTGCATGGAGCTTGCCCAAACCTCAGATTTCTGGAGACCCTGCTGGTTTCCTGAAGACTCCTTCATCCTGCAGAAGGTGCAACTCCACGGGCTCCTGCGGGGCCGGGCATAAGTGAGCGAGGACAAGGCCCCTGGTAACAGCCACCGTTTTCCTTTTCCTGATGGATGCAGCCAGGGAAGGAAGGGGCCACCTCCTGGTGTCTCCAAGATTCCCAAGGCAGAGGGGGTTGGGGGAGGGGCAGGGGGGTGGGAGTGGAGTGCAGGAAGGGGTCCCACTGAGAGAGCGACAAAGCAGTCAGAGTGTGGAGGGCAGTGTCAGGGTGAGAGGTGGGTTCTCCTCTCCTCCTCTGCCTTCCCGGGGCACAAGGAGCGCTGGGCAGCCGGCTGGAGTATCAGTAGCTGGGTCCTAACTCCCTGGGTGACTGAGGCTCCGTCAGCCTGTTGAGACTGTGGGGGAAATCAGAGAAGCAGGCCACATTTCCTGCCTTTTCTGAGAAATCACAGAGCACAAATGGTGTTTTTCCGCCCTTTGGACGGGAGCCTGGGTTACGAAACCCGGAAAGGACAACTCCCAGGGGCAGGGGCAGTGTGGGGGTCAGCGTGACTCAGCCGCAGACTCAGAGGCACTGATGCCACAGGGAACACAGGCTACGGGCCAATGGGGCTACACGGGGTCACCGGGGCAGAGCCCAGGATGTCCAGGATGCTCCTGGGCCAGCGGCTCTTCCAACCAGAGATGAGCGATCAGAGGCGGAGCCCGGCCGGGGCTGCGTCTCACTAACCTCTCAGCCTCCGCGGGTGGGATGTGACAGTCCTCGTGAAAGGCTCGCAGGCAAGTGTCACAGCAGAGCAGCGAGCCCCCTTTACAGCACACCTCACATTCCTTGGAGTGTTCCTGCTGGAAGGGGATTGGTACCTGAGACGGGTTGCCCCCGCTCCCCGGGCCTGGGCCAGAGATGCTTTCAGCCGCTGTGCGCAGGCCCAGGTAAGCTCGTGAGCAACCCCGAGAACAGTCCCTGGGGTTACGCTGACACATGGAGGGACGTACACAAAGACCCAGAGCTGTTGTGTCAATGGGTTGTTTGGTTGGTGGAGGGGGGGTTGCTCAGGATCCGTAAGGGTCTTTCTCGTGGCCGTAAAATGTAACCTAATACGTTCTGCAAGTGACTTATGTGAGAGGCGTGAGCCCTACAGTTGGATAAAGATTCACGTGGTGCTGGGAAAGACTGAAGGCAAAAGGAGAAGGGGGAAAAGGGGTGTCAAAGTGCCCCACTGCGGTCCTTTCCCCCCACGACGGATGGTGGGTGGTCAGGTAGACCACCAGGAGCCAGAGCAAAGGCTCAAAGCAACTGAGAATCAGTTACAACCAAGGAGAGGACCCTGCTCCCACCGCCACTGTCCCTAACACATATATGAGCACTCTGAGGAGATGGTTGGATAGCATTACGGACTCAGTGGACTCGAATCTGAGCAAACTCTGGGACATAGTGGAGGACAGAGGAGCCTTGCATAGTGCGGTCCATGGGGTTGCAAAGAGTTGGACGTGACTTGGCCGACACGACTTAGCAACTGAGCAACAACAAAGATTCACAGATGGCAGTCCTGATTCTGCTCCCAGCCCCTCGAGACAGACAGGGTAGGGCTCCACACAAGTTAACTGCTCAGTCGTGTCGGACTCTTTGTGACCTCACTGACTCTAGCCCGCCAGACTCCTGTGTCTGTGGGATTCTCCAGGCAACAATACTGAAGTGGGTAGCCATTCTCTTCTCCAGGGGATCTTCCCAACCCAGGGATCGAACCTGGGTCTCCTGCCCTGCAGGTGGATTCTTTACCATCTGAGCCACCAGGGGAACCCTCCACATGCACACAGGAATCTTTTCTCTGCACGAAGGGTAGGAGTCTGGAAGAGGGGTCCTTCTTCCTGTGCCCCACTGTGGTGCTCTCACCCCAAGACAGATGGTTGGTGGTTAGGAAATAGACCACCAGGAGCCAGAGCAAAGGCTCAAAGAAACTGAGAATCAGTTACAACCAAGGAGAGGACCCTGCCACCACCCCCACTGTCCCTAACACAAATATGAGGGGCCTGACCAAGGGCAGCAGGGACGGGAATGTTTAGTCCATTTGCAAAACTAGCCACTCAGCCAAAGGGAAACGTCTTCCTGATCTGGGATGGTGTTCATCTCTCTTAGCTGGGGAAGCTTCCTGAGTGCCCTCTTCATTTCCTAAGCCCCAAGGCCTCCTAAGGAGTGCTCCATAACCCTGAAGGTCAAAGAATCTTTCTGGCCTTCCCCTCTTGGACTTGCCAGTATGCCTCTCTCTGTCTTTAGGGTTGACACCCGACAGCCATTCTTGCCTCGATGACACCTGGCCCGCGCTGGTCCAGAGTATAGATGCCAGTGCAGACCTACCTGCTCCTCCTGATGGAGAACCTGGTTGGGCCCAGAGCCCTGATACCCCTGCCCCCTACCTCCTGGTTCTGGAGTGAAAGTTTCAAGCACACATGATACGACAGGGAAATGACAGAGAAAGGACGCACATACCCATGGTCATACTCTAATAAAGAATCTGACTCTGGTTTTTATATTTGATGACTGGTGGTTTCTCTAAGTCCTCCCTCTTCCCCTCTTGGCACTCCTGGGCAAGGTGCTAAGAAAACTCATGGGCTCCCTCTCTCGGCCACAGTGAGAAGTTCAAGTTGGACAGACCTCGCCCCAGCAAAGGAACCCTCACCTTAGCCACACGAAGTGAAGAAGTGAAAGTTACTCAGTCGTGTCTGACTCTTTGTGACCCCATGGACTATACAGTTCATGGAATTCTCCAAGCCAGAATACTGGAGTGGGTAGCCTTTCCCTTCTCCAGGGGGTCTTCCTGACCCAGGAATTGAACTGAGGTCTCCTGCATTGCAGGCAGAATTCTTTACCAACTGAGCTATCAGGGAAGCCCTTGGCCACATCCCTAACCATAATAAACCTTGGGCTATACCCTTTCTTGGGGTGGTGCTAGTGGTAAAGAACCCTCCTGCCCCTGCAGGAGACATAACAGGCTCAGGTTCAGTCCCTGGTTTGGAAAGATCCCCTGGATAAGGAAATGGCAACCCACTCCAGTATTCTTGCCTGGGAAATCCCATGGACAGAGGAACCTGGCAGACTACAGTCCATATGGTCTCACAGAGCTGGACACGACTGAAGTGATGTAGCACGCATATCCTTTTTTCACTCCAGTCACTTTCAGACCTGCTAGGGTGCCTGCCTTGCCTCTCCCCAGAAAGTCTCTGTATATGAGCAATAAATCTTTTATTTTCTCTTGGCACATGTGTTGCATCATTGGTTTCAACATCTGAACCCAGTTTTTAGTGCAGGGCTGAGCTCACTTACCTGCAGGCAACCACAAGACAGTTGGGTTGGCAAGCAGGAGACTGGGTGACCATTCCAACCTAGGGGTCTCTCTTTGGATTGCTAACCAGCTTAGGTCCCTGCTGACTTACGCGTGAAGTTATGTTGTTCTCTTCTGGGCACTGAGGTTGCCATCATCCACCAGGGGGCACCATCCGTTCTTTCCAAGTTTAAGAGCAGGCCATATCGGACATTTAGATGGAGAAAAAGTAGAGATAATCACTGTTGCTCTAAACAGATCTTGTATGGGCTTTCCTGGTGACTCAGTGGTAAAGAATCCACCTGCCAATGCAGGCGACTCGGGTTTTATCCTTGGGTCAAGAAGGTCCCCTGGAGAAGGAAATGGTAACCCACTCCACTTTTCTTGCCTGGGAAATCCCATGGACAGAGGAACCTGGCAGGTTACAGTCCATGGAGTCACAAAAGAGTTGGACAAAACTTAGGGACTAAATAACAACACAACAACATGATAAATTTCTATTCTTGAAGGCCCTGCTTTAATTTCTACTGAGTTCTATTAACTATTTTAACAGAGTGGAAGTTCCATGGGCTCCAGTATATAAAACTGATTGTGTCAAAGATTTAATTTTATTTTTTACTTCATCATTTGTCAGCTCAAAGCATCCATGCCCACTACAGGATAGTTTTGAGCAGTGGGTGTTATGGCCCTGGGGCATTTAGGTAAGGCAGCAGTTTTGATGGTTAAGGTGAGGTATACCTGTTTGTCTTCTGTTTTATGTTTGGCAAGTCCCCTGAAAGGATAGTAGGTACCTTGTTTAAATTTAATGGGATGCAATTACTCACAAAGGACCCCCATGATATAGCCAATATCAAGGCCGTTACCGATGCCATCCACTTAGCAACTGGCAAATGCTTTACATTCACAGATTTGGCTCATATGTTCTGTTCAGTGCCTATCTCAACAGCATCTCAGCTGGAGTTGGCCTTCCCCTTTGCAGGCCTACAAGACACCTTTACCTGGCTATCCTGGGGTACTTTGACAGCTTTGCTATCACACACAGTCTCTTCGGACAAGATCGTAGCTGCAGCCAACTTCCCCCAGGGACACAGGAATGGTACCACATAGATGCAACCCTTCTCATTTGACATATTACGAATATATAGCTACAGAAAGGAACTCAGGAGAAGGGAAGGGCCATCACCGCACATGTAGAACAAGGCCCTACCTGCTCAGCAAACTCCTGGGCATTGTTTGGTCAGATGAGGGCTGCTCTATCCCTGACATTGTTAAGTAACAATGACTGACCCTCTTAAAACTCAGTCCAACAACAACTGCCCAACATTTTAAAGCCTTTTGAGTTCTGAAAGTAACACCGTCCTCATGTACAGATTTTACTTATACTTATTTAAACTGTTGGTTGCAAATCAGCCCACTTGAATGGGCTTGTTGTTACTGTTCAGCCACCCGGTCATGTCTTTGCAACCCCATGGACCGCACATGCCAGGTTCCTCTGTCCTCCACCATCTCCGGAAATTTGCTCAAACTCATGTCCATTGAGTCCATGATGCTATATAACCATCTTGCTATCTAATCTGAATGGGGACCCCTCAACAAAAAGTTCTAGGATTTGTTCAAAAAGTTAAAGAAAAAAAAAAGCAAAAAGCAGAAGCTGTCAGTCTCACCCTATACGCCTTTTGTATAGCAACGGTAGGCTGCATACTGGGCCCTTCTAGTGGTGGAGATTCTCACAGGCCCGGAGCCCCTGATTCTCTGCACCAGCTGCCCAGGTTGCCTTGGGGTCCTGGGAGCAGTACCCTGCAGGCCAGCCACAAAGCAAACGTTTGCAGTATTGGGTTGGCCAAAAAGTCCATTCGCGGTTTCCCATACAATGTTATGGAAAAATCCAAATGCACTTTTTGGCCAACCCAATATCAGCATCAGATCTCTTGCTGGTACACAGAAGCAGAGCAAGGTGCCAGGAAAGAGTTGGTATACTGCAGCGTGATGGTGGCGTGTTGGGGGAAGGGCCTGTATTGGTCCATTTGCAATCAGAACTAAACTTGGTTTTCTTTACCTCACTGTGACTCCTGATGGGGTGGTGGGGGGACTGAAAGGTCAAGTGTGCCCCTGGCTGTCATTTGCTGACATGTAGCATTATGAGTAAGGAGGAACTATAATATTGGGGCCATTAATTAATGATCTGGATTTTAAAAATCTTTATTTCTTTCTGGTTACAAGAGTAATAAATGATCATTATAAAAATTTCACCTGTACATAAGTATATAACATGGAAGGCAAATGTCCCTCGTCATCCCATCCCAGAATAACAGACTCTTCCAGGTGTTTTTTCAGTCATAGCCCTACACATTCACATAAACAAAACTGTGCTCCTTCTGTACATGTTATTACCGGTTTAAGCTTCCTGAAGCTTTCCTGACCTTAACACCCTTGGGTGACTATAGGATGAATATATACTTGCAAAACTTGCATTTTTAAAAACCACCATTCTGTTGATTATCAGTTTATTTTAGAGTACTGATGGACATCTATATTCTTCCTTATTATTATTATTATTATTTTTTTGCTATTACAAGGAACCTTTCTAAACATATCAAGATATTTAAAATCAGCATGGAAAAGGTGATTTATATAATAAACAGCTCTGGGGGACCATTGCCTTATCAACTTTGAGTGAATCTAGCCAAGGGTCAGGCTAACCTCCTGGGCAAGATGGAAGAGGCATCATTGCATCTATTGGAGGTCCGTATCTAATGGGAAGCCCATGAATGAGACTCGAGACTGGAAGGCCTATCTATGTAAGTACAGGCACCTGAGGAGGAGGAGTGGGTACAGCCAATGAATGAATGCCATTGGGAGGCTCTGCAGAGACAAAGCTCAGTTCAAACACATTATTCCATTCTGCTGCTACCAATGAGGAGCATGTCGAAGTTAGGAATACTTGGAGTTCCATCAAGGATGATCTCCTTACTCTTACCTCTTGCTATTTATCTCTTCTTGTCGATTTCAATACCGTATTTACTTTTCAAACTAGAGCACTCTATTTCTGACATATTTGGTTGCTGATCATCCAAATATACAAATCTTTTCTGTAGAACACATGCTAGTGTCCCCATCTTCATTTTAAAGAGTTATCTGCTTCCCTATCTTAAGTTAACTATGAACATAAAGGCGGCATGTGCAAGCATCAGTGTGCTAAAGCAGGCATCAGGAAACCGCAGTGCTGATACGGGAAGGTGACTTGGGCCTGGGAAGGTCGAGGACGCCCATACTAGCCTTGGCACATGGAAAGTCTGCAACATGATGGCTGAGAATGTGGTAGGAATTCACCTGCTATTTACCTCTCTCTTGAGATGTTTTCTTGAAGGACAGAGCAAAATTCCTTCCTGCAAGAGAGGACGGGTCAATGAATGGGACTGTTCTGAAGGCTTTTCTTTTGTAAATATCCAAGTCCCCACTTGTGAATGAATATTTGTACATGGCCAGCCTACTGGGTCTCCAACCCAAGAGAGCAGGAAGAATAACTAGCCCCCTCCTCCCACTGGCTCTTCTTCTGGACATTATTTATTCTCTGTCACTCAAACTCAAGACCTGTTCTTCTTTCTCTGTGCTATCCTACCCAGTCCTTTTCCTTCCCGTTTCTTCTCTAGATAACATCCTTATGATTTCATTTCAGTGATCACATTCTGAGTGTTATGGAGCGGTTTTGTGATGGAATCTGGGATCACAGAGACTAGTACCCTTGTTTGTTGCTCACGGGACGGAACCGTGTGCCAGGAAAGTGGGGAGGAGGGACTGGCCATGGGCAGGATGGTTTGGAAATGTAATACCAAGGGGCCCAGATGGACTGTGGTCTTGAGGAGGCGTTTATTGGGTGGTGGGCACAGGGAAGCTTTCAGAGGGGTCTCTGTCTTCATCTAGTTTCCTTCCAGCCCACCTTCTCCCATACTAGCAGGGTAGGTTTCTTAAATCCCTCCATCTTGCCTTTAGAGTTTCCCCTCATCAGCACCAGTCTGGGTTCCTAACTTCCTCACCCACAGTGTTTTTCTATGATCGGTTAGCTCTTTCTCAGTCACTCTGTGGAATCCTGATGGGAATTTCCTCACACTTATGTTATTGTAATTCCACTCATCCTTCAGGGAATTAAACTCATCACCTGTGTGTCTCTTGTTATTACAATACCTGCAGCAGCTTTTCTAGGCTCTTTCCTCCACAAAACACGCTCCGCTTCCAGTTCTTAAGATGTTTCCGCTTTCCTTCAATTTCAAATTCTCTTGGTGTGAACCAAACTCCCTTCTCATTCTGAATACACTTCTCTGAGGATCCTGGAAGGTAAAGACAGTCCATGCAACACCCACTTCCATCCTCAGTGAATTCACCCTAAACCACCATCCCCCTACTCATGGTGTTATACCCTTCTGGGTTCAGAGACTCCCTGTGAGGTGGGAGAAGGAGCGGGGAAACCGAGTTCCTCCTCTTGGATCGAATGAAGCCCTGAAACCCACCTGAGTCGTGAGGGATTGGGACTGGATTTGCCTTTCATGTGGCAAGGACGTGTGTCACAGGTCCATGGATGACTTCCATGCGGGAGGGCAGTGGCCTGGTCCCCAGATATAAAATGACATTGAAAAGGTGGAAAATCCCTTCATCACAAGCCCAGCCTTTTCTAAAGCAGCCTCGCTTGCAGGTCCCCGAACAATGACACACGTGGATGTTCTCTTCCCTTCTAGTGACTCCTTCATCTCGGGGTTCCAGAGGGCAGGAGGTCAAGGAACTCACCTTGCTTCATTTTCTCCGTATATAAAATCCCCTTTGCCTCCCCACAGGTCACGGGGAGCTCAGGAGAGTGAAAATCCAGAGTTTCATCTTCGGGTTTTTCTGAAAGTAGAAAAGAACAGGTTGGCGTTCCATGGTGGTTCAGGGGATAAGAATCCGTCTGCCAAAGTAGGAGATGTGGTTTCGATCCCTGGTCAGGATCCCTGATCACATGTCTCAGGCAACTAAAGCAAGTGTGTTACGATTCCTGAAGCCCGTGCACTAGTGTGCTGAGAACCTGTGCTCCGCAACTCGGAGTAGACCCCCAGCCGAGCCCAACTAGAGAAAGCCCACTCGCAGCCACGAAGATCCAGCCCAACCAAAAGTCAAATAAATAAATTATTAAAAAGGAAAAGAACAGATTAGTATTCTTCAGTCTTCATTCTGTCTCCCCTTGAATTTTCCATAAATTCTAATAATAATAGCAGTGACCAGAATAAGATAAAGAACACTGGGGAGCATTCTCTGGTTAATTCACAGAAGTCTTCCATTTTGAGTGGCAGACTACATGGGTGTACCGAGGGGTCCTTAATAAACAAAATGACCCCCGCCAACACTACATCACATAAAATACTCTAATAAACATATTGTGCTTCCATTGGGTGAATATGTTTTAATTTACAGACTAATCCACAATCACCCAGTGCTCCTTTATTCCATAAGCATCCTGCTTGCCCCTCTGTTCTGATAGGAGTTGCCAGCCCACAATATTCCTTTGCGTTCATGTAGTTGGAGACCATTTCTCTATGATTTTTTTTTCCGCCTGATTCAAAGACGGGGGTAAGAGAAGCAGTTAGCACTGAGAGGAGAATGCTAAGTTTTGTCCCTTTTCATTTGATTGCTCTCCCATTTCTTCCTCTAAGAGGAGAAGAAAACCCCCAAGAGTTCTAGACTAGTCTGCACATCGCCTATGGAGAGATTAGGCAACTCACAGCCTTAGAGTAGGGATCTGGGGTTCTGATTCAGGAGAAGGAACTGTAAAAGTAGAAGGGGTAACATAAACATCGGGCTTCCCAGGGGTGCCGGTGATAAAGAACCTGCCTACCAATGCAGGAGACAGAAGAGACTCAGGTTCAATCCCTGGGTTGGGAAGATCCCCTGGAGGAGGACAAGGCAACCCACTCCAGTGTTTTGCCTGGAGAATCCCATGGATAGGGGAGCCTCGTGGGCTATGGTCCATTGGGTTGCAAAGAGTTGGACATGACTGAAGCACCTTAGCACGAACACAACATAAACATCAGCAATTCCTGCTTTCCCCATCCCCCGCCAACCTCACTGTGGGCAAGTTCATTAAAGACAGACACAGGAGCTGTTTCCTGGGGTGGCGGGGGGCGGGGCAGAGAGAAAGCTGCCCAGAGCTGATGTGCATTCATCCTGGATGTTATTGCATCCGCAGTGAGGCAAGGAGAGTGTATAACCCAACTCTTATCCTGGTTTTGAACACTTATAGAAAGATCTAAAGGAAAACATGAAAAAGCAAGCACATCATTGGGGGAAAAAACCTGAAACAGAGCAGCATTAATGGCAAAGAAACCATGAGTTAGTTCAGAAAAATATGAAATAGGTAGAGTCAGATGAGAAATGAGAAGTGAGGCGAAATTTGCCTTCTATAGAACCTAAAGGAAGCTCAGCCTCGGGGAGCAGGGGTTGTAGCAAGGTAGGTGAGAATAAGGGGTGGGAAGACCTTGGTGGGAATAATAGCTGGCCGGTGCTCTTGCACAGAGATGCTGGCTCCACCACTGGTCCCCAGAATCCGCCCACTGAATATGGCCCAGTGAACGAGAGCGTAGCACTGGGAGCCAGACTTGGTGGGCTTGTAATCCTGGCTCTGCAGTTCACGAGCACGGTTACAACAGCGAGTGCTGATGTCATCAAAGCTGAGTGGGGCATTTGCACTACGGGGTCCTAACTTGCTGACAAGGTGGAGTCACAGGTAACTCTGAATCACTGTGAAAATCCCGAGGGGGATTGGGATGGCAACAGGGACCTGCCATAGTTGCCTGTGTCACCGAACGATCAAGTACAGGTCCAGTGGACACAGACATCCCAGACATGCCCACAGGCAGATGTGGCCGCCGTGTGTGGCTTTGGGAACTCTGGGCAGCCAACCCAGTGTGCAGAGTGGTGGGCATGGGCAGCTCCCCCTCCTTTGCCTACTTAGGAGGGACCTTGTGTCCCTAATGCTTCCAAAGCCACCCCACCCCCCACCCCTTAGGGAGGGAGAAAGTTTTCTGATCTGCTTCCCACAATCTTTCATTTGGCTCCATCCTACCTCTCATCTCCAGAGAACGCAATGGCACCCCACTCCGGTACTCTTGCCTGGAAAATCCCATGGGCGGAGGAACCTGGTGGGCTGCAGTCCATGGGGTCACGAAGAGTCGGACATGACTGAGCGACTTCACTTTCACTTTTCACTTTTATGCATTGGAGAAGGAAATGGCAACCAGAGGAACCTGGTAGGCTGCAGTCCATGCGGTCGCGAAGAGTCAGACCTGATTGAGTGACTTCACTTTCACTTTTCACTTTTATGCATTGGAGAAGGAAATGGCAACCCACTCCAGTGTTCTTGCCTGGAGAATCCCAGGGATGGGGTCACACAGAGTTGGACACAACTGAAGTGACTTAGCAGTAGCAGCAGTACCTCTCATCTCAGTAAGCAGACGTTTAAGGATGGAAGCCTGAAGGGGTGGAGGGCGGTTTGAGTGCCGCTCTCCCACATCTATTAGGTTACCGCTAGTAAATGCAAGCAAAGACGAGGAACCTGATAGGGAAAGTAAGCAATTAAAGAGCAAAGGGAGGGACTTCCCTGGTGGTCCACTGGTTAAGACTTCGTGATTCCAGCACAAGTGGTATGAGTTCGATCCCTGACTGGGGAACTAAGATCCTGCATGCTGAGCAGCGTGGCCAGGAAACAAACAAACAAAAAACAACCCCAAATCAACCAAACAACAAGCAACAGCAACAACACCAAAGAAAAAAGAAAGAAAAAACAAAAGGAGTTCATAGAGATGAAAAACCTGGTGGAGAAAATGAAAAGAAAAGCCTAACAGAGACAAAGAAGAGCGGAATGGAAAAACCCCCATTAGTGATGGGGAAGACCACCTCCAGGGATTCTTACAGAACCTAGGGAAGGGGCACAGGTGAACACTATGCCTGGGGACTTCCCTGGTGGGCCAGTGGTTGAGAATCCACCTACCAATGCAGGGGACACAGGTTCAATCCTTGGTCCGGGAAGCTTCCACACACCATAGAGCAACTGTGTCTGTTTGTTGCAACCACTGAGCCCGCGCTAAAGAATCGTCAAGCAGCAACTACTGAGCCCATGAGCTGCAGCTGCTGAAGTCCATGCACCCTAGAGACTGTGCTCCACCACAAGAGAAGCTACCCAATGAGAAGCCCAGGAACCACAACTAGAAAGTAGCCTGCTTGCAGCAATGAAGACCAAGTGCAGTCAAAAATAATACTAATAAATAAAAATTAAAACAAAAAAGCCCCTCATAGCTTGGGGAAAAGTCTGGAGCTCTATGATCTGTAGAGGAAGGGCCCTTGTGGAGATGGAGTGGCTGGAAAAGCAATAGTTAGGGGACTAGTGAAAGCAGCACACATGTTTTCTTGTCTATTTGCACAACAGCCTTAAGAAAGGGAAGGCAGTGGCCACGGTCCTCATTTTAGAGTTGGGGACTTTGGCACAGGTTTGGAGAGAGAATTCCTGGTGGTCACCAAACTGTGAGATGGGGCTGGCTTTGGAATTCAGACACGCCAACCCTTATGTGTGTGCTCTTTCCACACCGTGAGAAACACTGCAACAAGATTCCACATCGTTTAACAGCAGAGTGTGTGTGTGGGTACTCAGTCATTCAGCCATGTCCGACTCTTTGGGGCCCTATGGGCCGGAGCCCACCGGGCTCTTCTGTCCCACACAGAGTGTGTGCGTGCCTCCTAAGTCACTTCAGTCATGTCTGACTCTTTGCGATCCCAAGACAAGGTGTTAAATCAGAAGTCAAAGCTGGGTGGGTGGACATGCTAAGGAGGTGGAGAAGCTGATGCTGACGGACAGCTGTCAGTGTTTGCCTGGACTCTTGCCTCCTACTCGTGTTTACTACAAAGACCTGGAGGGGGAGTATTTATTTTTCAGCATGAAACAAAGGACTTGAGATTAAAACACCCACGTTTGTTTTAGCTCATGCAAGTCCTTTATGTTCTAATTGAATCTGCAAAATGAACTGGAAAATACATATTTGAGGATTAGATGGCAAAAAGTAGAACAAATCGGTTGCCAATTGTAAAGTGACGCACACACTTACATATCGTTGGCAGGGCTTCTGCGTATGGTTGTATGGAACACACACTGAGCAAGGAGTTCCCCTTTAAGGTGGGGGTGGGGAGCTCATAGCGACACCAGAGCTACAGTCCATTTGCACACTTCCTGCTCTTTCCAGCAGGGGGCAGTAAAGGGCCTGGTTACAAGAATCGGCTCTGCCAGATGTTAAGTCAAGAGCGTCAAGGAAGGGGCTCTCTTTTCTGGTTGATACCGGTCAGTGGAGGCTCTGATACAGGTATTCACACTTGATGAGGAAGAATGGATAATGCATTGATCTGGCAGCTATTTAAGCACAAACTGCAAGGCACAGAGGAGAGCTGGAGCCACGAGCAAGGCCTTCTGACCTCGTTTGATTTTCCCGCAGGGAATAGGATGTACACAGACAGTTAATCATACTTGTGATAAAACAAACAAAGTCACAGCCTTGGAGAAGAACTTACGGTTACCAGGGTGGGACGGTGGGGGGAGGGATAGTTAGGGAGTTTGGGATGGACATGTACACACTGCTGTATTTAAAATGGATAACCAACAAGGACCTTCTGTATAGCACAAGGAACTCTACTCAATATTTTCTGACAACCTAAATGGGAAGAGAATTTGAAAAAGGATACATGTATATGTATAACTGAGTCAGTTTGCTGGACAGTAGAAATTAACAGAACATTGTAAATTAACAATACTTCATTTTTTTTTTTTTTTAAGAGATCTGAAGACTTCCCTGGTGGTCCAGTGGTTAAGACTCTGTGCTTCCACTGCAAGAGGTATGGGGTTGATCCCTGGTGGGGGAAGTTCTACATGCCTCAAGGTATATCTGAAAAAAGAGAGAACCCCCAAAAAAACTATCAAAAAAAAAAAATTACACTTGTGGTAAGTGCCACCAAAAAAAAAGCATTGTACCTGCTGGGTCCAAGAGGCTTTGTTCAAGGTGAGTCTGGAGCTGTGTAGCAAAGAGGAAGGAGGATGGAGGGGTTGGCTATGGGGATGGAGTGTGTGATAGGGGAGGAGACGCATGAGGTGGCCCTGAGCAGGACGGAGCCAGAAGCACTGGGTGATACTCAGAGAACCAGGCTGGGACATACCCTGGGGGCTGCGGCTAGGGCTTGGAATACGAGTGTGGATTATGTTCTATTTCTTGACCCGGTTGTTGGGTACACCTGGGCTTTTCCTTCGTGTGAGTCCCTCAAGTTGTATACTACGCACCAGCATTTTTCTGTAAGCACAGTATGCCAGTGGTCCTCAAGATGTCAACCTGCGATGAGCTTGACCAGAAGAGAAATCAATGCAGCACTGTCTAGTATAATTCATTGTCTATTTTATATATAGTGTAATACTATATATAAAATAGACAACGAATAAAGACCCACTGTATAGCACAGGGAACTCCACTCAATCCTCTCTAATGGCCTAGATGGAAAATAACCTAAAATGGAATGGATGCATGTATTATGTATAACTGATTCACTGTGCTGTACAACAGAAAGTAACACAACACTGTAAATCAACTACACTTCAATAAAAATTTAAAAAGTAATAAAAACAGTGCGTGCTAAGTCTCTTCAGTCATGTCCAGCTCTGTGCTAACGTATGGACTGTAGCCTGCCAAGTTCCTCTGCTTTGGGATTTTCCAGGCAAGAATACTGGAGTGGGTTGCCATTTCCTCCTCCAGGGGATCTTCCCAACCCAAGCACAGAACCTGTGTCTTACGTCTTCTGCACTGGCAGGCGGGTTCTTTACCACCAGCGCCACCTGGGAAGCCCCACATAAAAACAGGGCTGTTAGTAAATGTAGGCTAGAGAATGCTGAAGTCGTTTATGGTCCTCCCAGAAGTCAGTGGTTTATTATAGATGTCAGCAAACTACAGCCCAGGAGCCAATCGGCCCAGTGTCTGTTTCTGTAAAGAATGTTTTATTGGGGCGGAGCCAGGCCTACTTGTTCATGTTTTTGCCTCTGCCAGTTTCCTGCTACCAAGTCAGGGTTAAAGTTGTAGCAGTAAACCGGTATGGCCAGCCGAGCCTAAATGACTCACTCTCTGGCCCTCTTTAGAAAAAGCTTTTCAAGTTTTGGCTTCCAGTGGCCCTTGCATTTCTGTCCACATTTCTTTGGCCAAGTCACATGGCCCTTCTCGAATACACAAGGCAGGAGTCTGTGACCTTCTGGGATGCTGGCGAGCAGTACTGTGACCTCCCACCTCATGTTTAACCCTGCGCAGCGCGCAAAGAAGTCACGAGGAAAACACTGGCAAACTATCGCTCTTGGCCTGTGTGTTCAACAAATGGAAAAGGCTTATTATTTCTGTGTGTGTGTGTGTGTGTGTGTGTGTGTGTGTGTGTGTTAGTCAGTCGTGTCCAACTCTTTGCGACCCCGTGGAGTGTAGCCCACCAGGTTCTTCTGTCCATGGAATTCTCCAGGCAAGAAAACTGGAGTGGATAGCCATTCCTTTCTCCAGGGGCTCTTCCTGACCCAGGCATTGAACCTGGTTCTCCTGTGTTGCAGGCAGATTCTTTACCGTCAGAGCCACCAGGAAAACCCTTGTTATTTCTAGTGCTGGTGAAGATGTAGGGGAAAGTGTATCCACACTACATTCATGGGAGCCTAAACTGGCAATAATTTGATCATCGGGTATGGCATTATTTATTTTATTTTATTTTTAATTTAATTTTTTGGCCACACCACACCACGCCATTTATGGGATTTAAGTTGTTTGACCAAGGATTGAACCCAGGCCCTTGGCAGTGAGAGCACAAAATCCTAACCACCAGATGACCAGGAGTTTCCCAGTATGGGATAATTTTATTTATTTGTTCATTTGACTGCATCAGGTCTTAGTGGCGGCACACAGGCTCAGTAGTTGTGGCTCACGAGCTTAGTTGCCCGACCAGGGATTGAACTCACGTCCCCTGCTTGGTTAGATGGATTCTTAACCACTGGACCAGTAGGGAAGTCCCAAGATAATTTTAAATATGCAAACTCATGGATCAGTCTATTTCACCTCCAGAGACAAACCATGAAGAAATAAGCCAGAGAACGTGTCCACTTCGAGGTTTGGTGCTACTCCCGTCAGTGGGAGAGGAGCCCCCAGGCTCCATGGAGCAGAGGTGACACTGCTGATGGACATATAAACAGCGGACCCTGGGAGAGGTGAAGTGGGTCCACAGGACACAGCTGAGGCGACCTTCACCCTGAGAACACGATTACTTCTCCCAGCAACCACCCCCAGGCCCCGAGACCCCAGCTCTGTCTTCATGCCGCCTCATCTATGCTGCTCCCTCCTTCTACTAGTCACTTTAGATCTGCGTCACCTGTGTGGGCTCCACGAGAGACGCTCCCACGCTGAGCATTCAGGTGACCAGTGCCACCACCAGCTTTATCCTTAGGTGCAGGCACTGGGGCACTTTCAGCCTGTGCCTTTTGGGCTCTTGTCATGACCTTTGAATTTCCGGTTGAGTCATCCTTCTTTTGAGTCACCTGATTCATCCCTTGGAGCTTCTCTTCGATTCTGAGCCCTGATGAGGCTTCTCCTGGACCAAATAGAGATTTATGATGAGTTTTCACTGGGGTCCCAGCGGCCCTCCCATTAGCGACCTCCCTCTCACTCTCCCAGTCCCCTCACTTTGAGTTCCCTTTCTATCCCTGCCGGCCTCTGGTCTTACTATTTCTCTGTAACTACTCCTTTCTTTTTCTTGGATGTATCTTTCTTCTCCTCCCCAAACCCTATTTCTCTTTTCCTCCTTCATTTCCTCTTTCTGACTCTTCATTACATGTATTAGTGAGAATATAAGCTCCATGAGGCCAGGGATCTTGTCTGTTTTGCTTGTTGCTAAGTCCCCAGAACCGAGGACATGTGCCCAGAACACACCTCAGCTCAGTGCATCTCTGTGGAATGAATGTGTAACAAGCAGCATAGTTTAGAAAATATTCAAATTATGTATTTTTCATCCTTATACATTGTATAGTCCATGGAATCCTCCAGGCCAGAATACTAGAGTTGGTAGCCTTTCCCTTCTCCAGGGGATCTTCCCAACCCAGGGATCGAACCCAGGTCTCCCTCATTGCAGGCAGATTCTTTACCAGCTGAGCCACAAGGGAAGCCCCTTGTAATGGTCAGGGTTCCCTAATTATGAAGTCAGTCAATTTTCGGGAAAGGGCAGAATGTAGCCCAGGATCTCAGTCGAGGCCACTTTGGAGGTACTACACAAAATCTCAGAAACACAAGAGTGAAAGGGAATTTCTATGTTCCAAAGTTATTTTTATACACCAACAAGAAAAGCTCAGAGGTCTGAATGTCAAGTGTTCCCAGAAGTTGTTGGTGGAGAGAACTCAGCATGTGACAAGGAGGCGGCAGGCCTGGGGACTGGGAGAAAGAGACAAGGGGAGGAGAAGGGTAAGGGAGGACGTTCTGGTCCCTTCCCAGGTCAGACCCCAAGACTGAGGGGTATTGGCAACAAGCAGAAAAATTGGGAAAATGTCCAAAGCAGTGAAAGGCATGTCATGATTCCAGTTTGGGAGCTGAGAGGAGATTTCATCCCAGGATGCCACATTACCTCCTAAGGGCTGGGAATCCAAGACAATCCCCACCAATTGGCACATCTTGAACTAAAGAAACAAGGAGAAAGGAGAGGGGCGGGGAAGAGGGAGAAAGTGCAGAGGAAAAGGAGAAAAGGTGATGAGTGTGAAAAGGAATAAAGCAGAGGGTCCAGAAAAGCACAGAGTTACATACAGTTTTGTTTCTTGTGCTGCAAATAACATGCTTTTTCATGCATGGAGTCAATGGCATGCTAAGCATCTCTGCGGGTGGTTTTGAACACTCAGTGACCACAAATCTAACCCCAGTTTGGGACTGGGAATCTGAATCCTGCCTGCACACTCAGGTTTTTGCTTTGTCTTTTCTTCTTGGCTCTGAACTTGCACTGGACATTGTGTGTGCTAAGTCACTTCAGTCATGTTTGACTCTATGCTGTCCTATAGACTGTAGCCCCCCCCCAGGCTCCTCTGTCCATGGGGGGTCTCCAGGCAAGAATACTGGAGTGGGTTGCCATGCCCTCCTCCAGGGTATCTTTCTGACCCAGAGATTGAACTTCTGTCCCTTGTGTCTCCGGCATTGGCAGATGGGTTATATATCACTAGTGTCACCTGGGAAGTCCCATATCTCAAAATCGTCTGATGCCTCCTGTCCACCTCCACCTCATTCCTTCCCAGTGATAAGATAAAAGAAGCCTGTTGGAACCAGCATGGTTCTCCCTTTGTGAGTTTCAGTCCTTGATGAGATGGTCTAGGGTTTCGGGTGGAGCTGGCCATGTGGCTGGAGAGAAGAACCCTAATGAACACCAAGGGAATGACACCTTCACCCTTCTTGCTTACCTCTTGAGGGACATTTCTTCTGTCTTTTTTTTGAACTTGACCAGTTATGTATTTTTCTCTTCCTTTCTGAAACAGAAAAGAAAATCATCTCTTATGGCTATCTATAGTGATCTACCAGTTTGAAATTTTTAAGTAAAATTTTTTCTATCTTCCCATCGCTTTGGGGAGGAAAGAGAACCATGAGTCTATGTGAAGAAAATACTTGGAAATGAAAAAGGATTGAATAAAGAATAACAGAGATGTGGCAACTTATTAGCATTACAATATGCCCTTTTTTCTATAACTAGTTTTTTCAAGACTAGAAGAAAAATATAGATTGTTATTAGTCATAGATATAAATGATCTTCTTAGCCAAAACTTAAGACCAAAAATCATGAAGGTAAAACATGAACAAATTTAACCATTTAAAAAATTTAAATGCCCATACTTCAAAAAACATCCACACAATATTAAAATAGAACAGGGAAATTCCAATATATGTAACATTAGAGGATGAATCACCTTAATAGTAAAACAAAAGATGAATAGTATACTAGGAAAATGGACAAAAGCATAAATTGAAAGTACTAAAAGAGGAAATGACAATATTTTTTGAAAAAGCATCTTTAGACCACCAAAAGTCAAAAAAATGCATTGCTTGGTTTGAATTATACCCAAACTTATGAAAAGTTTTATCATGTCTGGGTTGACAAGGATGTAATTAATGAGCACTTGTGTTGTTAAAGGGAACAACAACAACAACAACAACAGAACAATATTTTCTGGAGAATAGTTTGGTAGCAAATATGAAATTTAAGATACCTAAACTCTAACTGAGTAATTCACACTTAGAAATTAATTCTCAGGAAATTATTGGACAAGTGTGTAAAGATACCAACACATGCAACATGATTTCTACTTTTATATAAAAATGAGAAATATCCTAACTTACTGCCAATAGGTTATTATTGAAATAAATTGTTAATCATACAGTAATGAGCTGTATATCCCTTCCCATCCAAAAAAGGAAAATTGGTAATGGATAACATTGACACAATGAGAAAAATGTTTAGAAGTGTTTATAGAATAGACAATGTAGAATAAGAATGTGTGTATATATACATATATATAATGTATATACATATAAATGTAATATATATGTGTAAAGAATGTATACATATATATGTACATGAATGCAGGCCTTTTTGTAAGGTACAAAAATAAGGTGGCAGAAGCAGAATAAATAGATATTTCATTTCCTGATTAATAACTTTGCATACTGTTGGAGGATTTTATGAGGAACTTTATGTGGGGCTGGACAGGATGGGTTACTCTTCAGTACAAGCAGAACCAGACCTTGGTGTCTTAACGTGCACACTGTATTTCTCTGTCAGGCATAGTTCTCTGCAAGACAGGGGTCTCCAGGACAGCTGTCTGCTGTGGATGGTGGTGAGATCCATCCAAAGGTGCTTGGCCTTTGGCCACCTCCCTCTTCCACACCTTCCCAGTCAGAGGCAGAGAGTGGGGAGAGCTGAGCAGTAAGTGTCTCTTATGTGGTTTGACTCAGGAGTAACTGGCCTCTTGGTCAGAACTGGTGTCATGACCCTGTCTTCTGCAAGGGGCCAGCAAGTGTAGGCTTCCAAATGTCTGGGAAGGGAAGGAGAACCAGAAATAGTGAAGAACACTAGTATTGCCCAGCAGGCGGTGTGCAGACCTGGTTGTTCCTTTCTGTCTTCTTCCCTTTTCCTTAGTAGTACAGTTGCTGATTTCCACCTGGATAGCTGTCCTTCTAGAATAAAGACTACATTACCTAGCCTCCTTTGCAGTCAGGTAAGGCCATGGAACTAGTCCTGGCAATGAAATGGCAACAGAATTACTAAATTTAACCTGCAGATAGAGTCCTACAGTGGAGGAGGTGTGCCTCTCCTTGACCTTGCCTCTTTCCTTTCTTGTGAGCTGGAACCCAGTGAAGGGGATGCCGCACGCTGAGGATGATGGAGCAACAGCCAGAATGAACCGTGTATGGTGCCAGCCCCGACCACCTACTTCTCTACAGGAGAGAGAAATAAGCCTTTTTATCTCACCTACTATTTGGAGGGGGAGGGTAAGTGGTGGTTTTCTGTCACACACAGCAAGCTAGTCTTAATGGCCACAGCGTATTGCTTTTATAGTACTTTTTTTTTTTAATGTTGCAAAAAGTTAAATTACTGCTGCAAAAAGCACACATCTTTTTCTGGCTTGGATGTCCTAAGGACATAACAATCAATAAAAATAATATCAACTCTACCATACCAGAGACCAAATAAGTTCTTTACACTTACGCTTTTCCCCAGGAGATTTTCCCAAAGGCAGTTTACTGTCATCATCCATGGAGTCTTGAAAGTAATAAGAAAGAAACTTTTGAATAAGCAATCTTTGTATTCATTTCCATCAATATTGAGCTGGTAAAGCTTTAATAGTATTATTTCTATCCATTTTATTATAATGGCAATGGCACCCCACTCCAGTACTCTTGCCTGGAAAATCCCATGGATGGAGGAGCCTGGTAGGCTGCAGTCTTTGGGGTTGCTAATAGTTGGACACAAGTGAACGACTTCACTTTCATTTTTCACTTTCATGCATTGGAGAAGGAAATGGCAACCCACTCCAGTGTTCTTGCCTGGAGAATCCCAGGGATGGGGGAGCCTGGTGGGCTGCTGTCTGTGGGGTCGCACAGAGTTGGACATGACTGAAGTGACTTAGCAGTAGCAGTATTATAATGGAGAATGGTGGCTCCTCAAGAGGGCTCTAGGGACCGAGATTCTCTAGTCCTGCGCGTGCACACAACAAAGTCAGGGGCTCGTGCTCAGGTGCAGTATTACATTTGTGTTTATGACTACTGTTCACTTCCCAGAGAGGTCATGTGAGAAATATGGTGATTGAGGTCTTAGGGAAAAACCAGATGGGTTGGCAGTGTAATAAAGAACCATGAATACACTCAGAGCATGAATTCTTAGTGGCGGTGAAAGAAAGTGAGAGTCGCTCAGTCATGTCTGACTCTTTGTGACCCCATGACTGTAGCCTGTCAGGCTCCTCTGTCCATGGAACTGGCCAGGCAAGAATACTGGAATTGGTAGCCATTCTCTTCTCCAGGGGATCTTCCCTAGCCAGGGATCAAAACTGGGTTTCCTGTTGGGTTTCCATTGCAGATGGATTCTTTACTGTCTGAGCCACCAGGGGAGCCTTAACAATTAGGGTTGCCCCCCAACTGGTTCTTGGGGTGAAAAAAACTTAACACTTTTCATGTATAAATCATAAATAAATATATCCAGTACAGAAATGGATATATAATATACCTGTGTTATTAGAATACCCTGGGAGGTAGGGTTCATTATTAGAGAAAAATATCTAGATGGGCTCTCTGGAGCAGTGATAATGAACAAATGGCTGAGAAACACTGACTCAGAGTAAAACAACTCTCTAAGTTTGGGTTCCTGATTATGCACTGTGAGACTTGCAGTCCCTCACCTTTGTCGTGGATGATTCTTGGTGGTGTGCTGGGTGGCTCCCAGGGCCTCTTCCCTTCATCCATTTCTGAAGTATTATCACTGGTCTCTGAAAAAACAACAACAACAAAAAACAGCATTCATGTCACTTTCCTCTCTGGAAAGTCAATGGGGAATCTCCCAGAGAACCAGGAAGGACCTTAAACACTCTGGAGTTGAAGGCTGGAGGTTCCAGTCTTGCTTGAGGCTCCAAGACACGCTCCTGAGATTAATTCTACCACTGATCTGTCTGCCAGTCAGGGGAGGGCCATAGCAAAGCTAGTCAGTAACGGTTCCACTACTAACAGAATGTCCTTTGGGGAGCAGTCATTTGAGACTCTGGACCAGAGATTCAAAGTGAGGTTGTGAACCCCTTGGAGAGTCCTGGAAACTCTTTCAGGAGAACTTCCAGGTCAAAATTGTTTTCATAATAAGATGTTCTTTGCCTTTTTTTTTTTTTTTTTTTTTTGCTATGTTGGCTTTTGCACAGATAAGGCAGGTAAAAATGCTGGTGCTTCAGTACAAATAAAGCCCCCAAATCTTAGAATTATCTATTGTATTCACCACCACCAGTTACTCAACATGAAAAAAACAAAACAAAACAGCAGTTTCATTTAAGAATGTTCTTGATGAAACAGTTAAAATGATTAACTGTATTAAATGTATACTCTTGAGAACACATCTTTTTAATAGTCTGTGTGAGGACTTCCCTGGTTTAGACTCTGCCTTGCAGTGCAGGAGACACAGGTTCGATCCCCGATCAGGGAACTAAGATCCCACGTGTTGTGGAGCGACTAAGCCTGTGCTCCACAATAGAGAGTCTGTGCACTGCAATGAAAGATCCCGCATGATATAACTAAGACCCAATGCAGCCAAAAGGAAAAAAGTCTATGTGAAAAAGTGGGGAGCACATATAAAGTAGTTTGTTGCATCTTGAAGTGCCATGGTTGTCTCAAGAACAATACTCAGGTGATTGCGTTGTAAACTCACTGTAAACTCCAGTGAACCAATACTTTCCAGTTGTATATGATATTATAAAATCTGGCATGAGTAGAAGATTCATTTGAATCACAAGATAGTGTGAAACATCTTACTACAAAATAGTATGAAAAGCTCATTGATGTGGTTTCAGACTCTGGTTACAGCAAACCTTTAAGAAACTACCACTTGTTGAGTTTTGGTGTAGTATCAAAGGTGAATAACCACAGATATCTCAGGACACTGTTAAAGTACTCCACCCTTTTAGCTACAGATTTGTGTGGGGCTGGATTTTCTTCCTATGATTCAATCAAAGGTAAAGGGGATTAAGAGGTACAAACATACAGTTATAAAATAAATAAGCCAAAGGGATATAACATACAGTATAAGAAATAAAGTCAATAGTATTGTAATAACTTTGAATGGGGATAGGTTGTTACTAGACTTATGGTGGTGATCATTTCATAGTATATGCAAATGAAACGCCTATGTATTGTACGTGAAACTAACATAATATTGTACACCAAACATATTTCAATTAAAGAAAAGAAATTTAAAAGAAGCTTTAAAACAGAAAGTAATTGTTAACAGGATATAGATTGATGTTATTAAAAATGTTCTCTCACCTCTCAATATAATACAGTAAATATATGTACAAAAATATTGAAGAAGCACATTGAAAAGATAGTTAATAAAATTTTTTAAAAGAATCCAGCTTTGATTAAGGTAGACATTAAAGAGAGTTGCAAAAATGTAAAATGATACCACTCACCTAATATTTTTATTTGAAAAGTATACTATTTTTCATAAAAATATATTATTTATGGTAATAAGTTATTGGTCTATTATGGGTTGCAAGAGAGAGCCTTCCACACTGAGCATTCAGATGAAAAATTCCATCACCAGCCTTACCCTCTGATTTAGGCATCTGGGCACATTCTGTCCTCTTCTGTGCCCTTGTCACGACCTTTGTATTCCTGGTTGAGTCATCCTCTGTATGAGTCACCTGATCTTGCTGTTGGAGTGTCTTTTGGATTCCATGCCCAGGTAAGGCTGCCCCTGGCCAAACAGTGATTTGGGAATAGTCTTAATTGGGGTCCCAGTGGCCCTCTTCCTTCCCTGAATAGTGATTGCCTTCTCACACTCCTAGTCTCCCCACTGTGAGACCTTGTTACCCCTGCTCTGCACCTCACTTTTCTCCTACTATTTCTTTGTAATTATATATATATATATATATATATTTTTTTTTTTTTTCTTGTATGTACCTTCCTTTCCCCTGAAAACTTACCATCTATTCTCCCTCTCTGTGCAACCTGCTGAAATCAATCAGATTAATTTGGGGGAACCCCAGAACACTGGGGCTGATTTCCTAGTTCCTGGCTTCAGACCCCTGCTGCCAGAAAGTGCCACATCCAAGTAAACATGGCCAGATGGTCTGTTTCAGCAGAGGAGGGGTCTCGTAAAGCACTTTTCCAGGTTCCCTAGGGCCTGTGTGTGATACAGGAGACAGGAGAGACCCAGGATACCTCTAGAAGGGAAAGGGCAAAAAGGCATCTAAGAATTGAGAGGCAGGGGCCCTGCAGTGGAGGGTGAGGCTGAGACCCAGAGGATGAAGGGGAGTGGGGGTGTTAGCACTGGGGCTCTCTCTCCCCTTTATTTTGCCAATGGATTTTGTATTTATATCTTTGTGAGGCCAAATTGATTTCTCTGGTGGCTCAGACAGTAAAGAATCCATCCATCTGCAGGGCAGGAGACCAGGGTTTGATTCCTGGGTCAGGAAGATCCCCTGGAGAAGGGAATGGCAACCCACTCCAGTATTCTTGCCTGGAGAATCCCATGGACAGAGGAGCCTCGCAGGTAATAGTCCATGGGGTCGCAAAGAGTCAGATATGACTGACTTGCCCTTTCAAATTGGTATACTGTGGGGAAATTTTCTTCTTGATTTCTCAGTGCTTCTGTGAAAAGCTCTAGCCTCCTGAGACACAAAAGTATATGTGATATAAAAATAGAGGATGTTTTCTTTCATTCCCCCTGGAATTATTTTGCTTTTCATATACCATAGAAATTAAATCTCTAGCTAGTTAATTACTGCCTAATCCAAAGAGGTGATAAAACTTCTCATTCTGGTCATGATCAAATGGTTGTGGCCAGGGCTAGGCTCCTAGGTTAAGTCCCACAGTAACAGGGACATTGGAGCACTCTATCCGTGGGGGTTTAGTGTCAAAAGGGATGAAGCCCAGAAGTTGGAGAATCTTTAGTAAAAGCTGGAGACACCTGGGGTTTCTCTGGCTCTTAGAAAGAGGCATTTACATTCTCCCAAATTAGGGTGAAGACTCAGGATCTTTTCAATCTTATCTCAAAGCAGTAAAAAAAAAAATGGCTTTTCTCTTTTCAGGAGCAGAAGAGGATGACTGTCCTTGTCCTGTATACAAATAGAAAATCCATCCTTCTTTCTTCTGTGTCTATAGAATGTAATCTGCATTCACACAGAAGATTCCATCAGCTCTCTCCTCGTGCCTGTGGGTCTCCATATGAGAAATGCTACAATGTTGAACTGGTTGTGAATATCAATAAAAGAATTCTCCCTGACCCAGGCGCTTTGTGGTTTTACAATATTCATATATCTAAAGAACATCACTCTGCAGGAAGGGGTAATCTCAGAGCCTCGCGGTTCTTGACAAAGCACACATGTGCATAGACAGCACCAATCTTGAAATGAACAAGTCAAAAATTGAATTCTAAAAATTTCCCCCAATATATTTGCGTCCTTTCTGAGCTACAGCATCACCTACCATTCATCCAGCTGTTTAAGCCAGAAACTGAAGAACAAACCTTGATTTCTTTCTCTCATCCTCAGCTTCCAATTTACCAAATCTTGCCAACTCTACCTCCAACTGATCTTGAATAGACCTTCTCTCCCTCCACTGCCAGATCTGAATCCAGACTGCTGTCAGCTCCCATGGCATCTGCCCCTTAAAGGAGTGCCCTGTATCCATTCTTTTCTATTTCCAATTCATTCTTTACATAACACCATAATTTTTTTGTTGGTGAAAATTGAATCATGTCATGTACACACTGCTATATTGAGATGGATAACCAACAAGGTCCTACTGTACAGCCCAGGGAGCTCCCCTCAAAGCTGTGTGGCAGCCTGATTGGAAGAGGAGTCTGGGGGAGAATGGATGCTGAGTTCCTTTGCCACCCACCTGAAACTATCACGACATTGTTAACTGACCGTATATTCCAATATAAAATAAAAAGTTAAAAAATTGCATCATGTCATGTCACAGACTAGGTCTCTTCAGTGGCTCCCCATTGCACTTAGAATGAAAGCCCACTCCCACACCTTGGCCGGCAAGGATGAGCGGTCTCTGGCCTCCAGCCCCCTCTTCTGTTCTCATCTTACTTCCTCGGTGGCTTTTTTTGTGCTGTCTCTTCTTTGGGGTGGCCCAGATACATCTTTTTCTTTTCTTTCCTGAAAAGATACAGATCATCGTTTATAGCTACAAACCTTGATCTATCAACCTCATATGTCAACAATGCTTAGGTTCAAATCACAGTGGCCAAGAGGTCATTGGTGATCGTTGGTGATGCTGAAATTCTAAAGCAGCAGAGGAGAGAGAGATGTAAAGAAATGGAGACAATAAGTTTGGGTAACTCATTTCTAGAAGTTTCGTTGTGAAACAGAAGGGAGAGCAATGGAGGTGGTTGAAGTGAGAGGAGGATCAAGAGAAAATTCCTTTCATGAACTGTGATAGGATTGGGCATTGGTTGAATGAATATCCTTGTGAGAAAGTGAAAGTCACTCAGTCATGTCTGACTCTTGTGACCCCATGGACTGCAGCCCGCCAGGCTCCTCTGTCCATGGAATTCTCCAGGCAAGAATACGGAGTGTGCCCTTCTCCAGGGGATCTTCCTGACCCAGGGAACCTGGGTCTCCTGCATTGCAGGCAGATTCTTGACCATCTGAGCTATCGGGGGAGATGCTGAGTTCTCAAGAAAGAGGAGGGACCATGGAGATGGTCAGGAGAGGTGGAAGGGTTGCTTTGGAGAGAAAGAATGAACTGGAAAGGAGCAGGCAGATGCAGCATTTACAGATGGGAGCAGGAAGAGCGGGAATTCCCATCTGATGCTCTTCTGTGAAACAGGAGGAATGGTCATCTGTTGTACAAAAGGCAAGCAGTGAGGTATAAGAGGTTTGAAAATTAAAAACTTTTTTTTTTTTTTTAGATTTGAGAGGAGCTTGAGAGGATCACAGGAAGTGGAGTGGTCATGCAGTGTGGGGGGTCATTTATGCTGGAGTCATGAAGACACAGTGAGAACACGCGGCCCGGCCAGGCGCCTCTCTCCGGCTGTGCCTGATTTCAGGTACAGTAGTCTCCTCCAAGTTCTGCCAGGAAGTTCTAGGCAAAGACAAGAAGCAAAGCAGGTAAAGATAGCAGTAGGTGACAGAAACAATGGATCTGGCACTCTAAACTGGTAAGAAGAGTTATGAAGAAAGGCAGATAGGGCTTCTGTGGTGGCTCAGTGATAAAGAAGCTGCCTGCCTGTGCAGGAGACACGGGTTCCATCCCTGGTCAGGGAGGATCCCACATGTCTTGAAGCGACTCAGCCTGTGTGCCACAACAACTGAGCCTGTGCCCTAGAGCCGGGCAGTGGCAACTCCCGAAGCCCTCATGCCCTAGAGCCCATGCTCCCCAACAAGAGAAACCACTGCAATAAGAAGCCCATGCACTGCAATGAAGAGTAGCCCCCGCTTGCCACAGCTATAGGAAAGGTCAAGCACAGCACAGAAGACCCAGCACAGACAAAAATAAATAAATAAAAGAAAGGCAGATGATTGAATGAAGACAGGAAAGGCCCATGACTGGTCACCCAAATGATATTGAGAGAAAGCTGCAGAGGAAGAAATTTTAAAGAAGAAATCAGGGCGGGACAGATATTTTTGAATTCATTTTTGTAGAGAAGGAGAGATCAGAAGTTAAGCAATAGCTATAGAAGAAGAAAACTTGAAGCACTGAGTGTCAATAAAAGGAAATCTCAACTTATTGGGAAGTTGAGCCAGATTTTTTTTTTTTTTTTGAGCCAGATTTAAATGATGAAAAGGCCCTTTGGGTCTGGGAGGCCAAGAACGGGTGGTGGGGGGAAGTCATCGGAAATAAGGAGTTGAAGGATTTGAGAGGTCAGGGTCTTGGATGGGTCTGTTACTCACATGGACCTTGCAGGTGTCCAGGAGGATAGCAGGACTGGAAGTGATAGAAAGATTCTAAGTCAGCCTTGAGGTCCTCCAGGGAGTGGTGGAGAAGTCAACGTATGACAGTGATGAAAAGGGAGTGAGCCCTTCACTTGATGGTTAAGCCTCAAAAGAGAGGATGGGGAGCAAGGGGCTGGGTGGGGCAGTGGGCAACCAGGGGTGGCATTCAACCTACCTTCCTACATGAGGAGAGGGTAGCAGAGAATATTCAGTCTTGTCTTAAGAGGAAGCAGTGTCTTATTGGGGACTTTCCATTAAAGAGGGAAGTGTAACTAGCCCTATAAGAACTTGTGTGTGTAGGAGACCTTGGTGATTTCAGAACAAATTCCAATGGGTGTGTATTTCAATGGCCCCAAATGCCTTCTCATTTCCATATAATTTTCACGAAGGCCTTAGAGGAAGATTCAATGAATGGGAAACAAACTGTGTTGGGCATGATGCCTACAGTCACCTAGTGGGTGCTCATGACAAGATGCAGCCCCAAAGGCAATCCTTACCTTTCTTGCTGGGAAGTGTCCTGGATGCTTCCTGGAGCTCCTTTGAGTCACTTGGTTCAGGGACATCATCTCTTCTCACTGACAAAAAAGTACAATTCATTTTAGAACTCAGAAAGTGCTGAGGGGTTCTGGTGGGAGAAGCAGAGAGTGGAGAGCACCCCTAGTACAGGTCTGGGGATTCACCAGGTTCCCCGACTTGGCCTGGGTTTGATCAACTTGTGGTTACTGCTCCCTGTGTGATTATCACAGTGAAGCGGGAACAACTGTCCCACAGAGGACTCAGTTGGAGTTCTTTAGAGAGATTCCCCTTTCCCAATGGAAGAAGAAGAACAAAGACTCAGCAGCCAGTGTGCGTGGTAATCTTGAATTCTGAAGGCCACAAAGAGGGTGAATGCCTTTGCCATATGAAAGGTACATGCTATTGCTTAGATATCTGTGATGGGATATTTTGAAACTGCTGTATCTGTAATTATTCATCTTGAGAAATAGTGAAGAAGACTAAGTGCCTTATATACTTCCATCTATCTGCTGTCGGAGAAAGCACGAGTCAGCTTATGCTTGCCAGCATTTGTTAACCGCAAGAATACCCAAAGTTCTGCTAGTTTTTGCTGCCCTAAGAAAGACAGAAAGACCTGAAGCCATATCAAATAAGGGCCCATCTCACAAATGGCAGTCACTTTCTTGCTTACACAGTGCTATGAGATTTGTGTCAAGTTCCAGCCTGCAGAGGAATAGCTAACTGAGGCAGCTAGCCAGCAGTCCTCAGACTTTAAAAATGATTTGTTGCATTTCAAATTATTTAAATACCTTAAAAATCCAAATGATGTAAAAAATGATACAGTTTGAAAATAAAAGTTCCCACAGTCAAGGTGGGGGCTGGAAAGGAGGACGGACCATCCACGTCTGGGGCACAGATTTAGAGTTAGGGTCACATAGTATTTTTGTTTGTTTTGCATTCTTTTTTGTCTGGTTTTCCTTTACTGTTCAAGCTATAGCTCAGGATAACCAAAATAGCTGATACAGGGAAGTTTATTTTTCCAGAAGCAATTCAGAGAGTTGAGCAGTTTGGATGGACACGTTACACAACATCATGGAATGCAATTTGCAAAACCCAACCTGTGTAAATACAAAGGGTACTTGACCCAATTTAAAGAGTACATTGCAAGGGAGGAAAAAAGTCACAAAAGTTGAAACTTGCCATGGTGGCAGAAGGATGGTGTCTTTATATATTTATTGGCTACCCCCTGATGCCTGTGGGATCTTAATTTCCAACCAGGGACTGAACTCTCACTGCCTGCATTGGAAGGTAGAGTCTTAACCACTGGACCACTGAGGAATTCCATTTTTTTTAAATATTTATTTTAAATTGGAGACTAATTGCTTTTGCTTTACATTTTGATGCAGCAGTTTGGAGTTTTACCTACTCAAGTGGCCTCTGGGAGTTGCTGAGCCAAATAGTCCTTCCCCGCTGGGATTCATGCATCACCTGGAAGAGGAATGTTCCCTGTTTGCAGACTCCTTAGTGGTGTTTGGAGTCCAGGTCTTGATACTGTGCAGGACCCGAGGGGTCCTGGGCACAAAAGCTTTTCTCTGTCCCCCATTTCTTAAATACAGGAAATAGGCTTCATCTGACCTCCAAGGCCTTCCCTAAATTCCAACCAGCATGTTCAAACAGATGCTAATCAGGGAAGGGAGTGGGGTGTGGAGATAAGGGAGAAAGGAATAATAGTGCAGCCTGGGCGGGCCTCAAGGGATACACAGGGCAATATTGTGACCTGTTTTGCAGATACTGAAACCCTCACCAGGTGGGAGAAATGAACAGTTTGCTGCCCATAAGCACAGAGACCCCCGAATGGCAGAAACAAGAGGTTGATCATGCTGTCTCCCAATTACCTCACCACCGAGCAATCAGAAGAACATCCATGGGCTACACCCTCTCTGAACCGCAAATATAAAACTTCTCACTTACTCTGTCCAAACTGGGACACACAATTTTGAGAACATTAACCTGCTGTGGTCCCTTTTGCCTGGCAAAGCAATACAGCTGTTCTTTTCTACTTCATCCAAAACTCTTGCCTCTGAGATATATCAGTAATTTGGTGTCAGGGTACAGAGGCTGGATTCGGCTTCAGTCGGGTCAGTACTAGTGGAGTTTCTGTCCCTCACCCTCAGTGTCCCTTCTCCATCCGCCTTTCCCAGACCCATCTACCTCACCCCACCGTCCATCCCCGCCCCAGGACTGTCTCCTTTCAAGAGCTCCGGTTTCCTGTCTGATCAAGCTCCCGAGGGCAGGGAGTGAGCAGCAGTGGGAAAGCTGGACCAAGATGGAGAGTGGAGAGAAGAGCCCTGGGCCTGGGTGTTCCGAATGGTTTCTCCTCATGGTAGACACAAAACTTAAGGTGAGCCTGCATATGTGTGTGTGTGTATGTGTTAGTCGCTCAGTCATGTCCTACTCTTTGCCACCCGATGGACCCTCCAGGCTCCTCTGTCCATGGGATTGTCCAGACAAGAATATTGGAGTGGGTTGCCATGCCCTTTTCCGGGGATCTTCCTGACCCAGGGAACTTGGATCTCCTGCATTGCAGGCAGACTCTTTACTGTCTGAACCATTAGTGAAGCCCCAAGGTGAGGCTGAGTAGTCCAAATCTAGATTACCTGGCACATGGTCTGAGGAAGTGCAGGGCATCTCTTGAGTGTCTTCTTTATCTTTTATTTGAGGGATCAGGTTGTCACTGGACACTGAGCAGAGGAAGAAAAGAGATTTCAGATAGCAGGACCCGCCAGCAGGAACCAGGGTGGGAGGAACAAGAACAATCTATTCTAGCAGGTAAAAATGATGGGCCAGCTGAATACCAAGGCTCCTCGAGGGTGGGGTAGGCAGGGAGGGAGAACAATCTTTTCCTTTCTTTCTTTCTCCCCCTCCCTCAGCTACTGGCCATGCTGCATGGCTTGAGAGATCTCAGTTCCCCAGCCAGGGATCAAATCCAGGCCCATGACAATGAAAGCACTGAGTCTTAATCACTGTACTGCCCAATCATTTCCTTTCAATTAGTCTCTTATTAATGTAAAAATAGCACTTATTTTGTTTTAAATCTAGAAGATGGACTTTTGTTATTGGCGTCGTGATTATGTTAACCTTGTCTACACGCATGCATGCTCAGCTGTGTCTGACTTTTTTGACTTCATGGACTGTAGACACTAGGCTCCTCTGTCCATGGAATTCTCCAGGTGAGAATACTGGAGTGAGTTGCCATTTCCTTCTCCAGGGGTTCTTCCTGACCCAGGGATTGAACCCATGTCTCCTGCAGCTCCTGCATTGGCAGGCAGATTCTTTAGCACTGTGACACCTGGGAAGCCCCTATGTCAACCTTATTTGAATGGTAATTTTAGATGAGTGGAGAAAACATTTGGACTAAATAAAACCCTTTATTCCCAGTATTGGAGAGCTCAGAATCCATGATACCATTTTTAACAGTGGCCAATAATATTCCACAGTTACATTTTACATAATCGAAGTGCTTTATCCTGATGGTTTTGGGAGATAAATGACATAACTGTAGAAGTGAAATCAGGCTCAGCTACCTTTAAACATTTGGCCATCTTTCCTAATAATTTCAATAACATTCCTTGTAGAATCCAAGCTATATGAAAATGAATCTGGTTTAAACGGATGTCCCTGTAATCAGAGGGTGAGCAATCTGTAAAGCATTAAGGCTGCTTGTTGCCCAAGTTACTTGACAATTCAGAGCAGTGTGTCCTGAGTGCTGGGTGGGCAGGGCTCTTGGACATCACAGTGTAAATGGCTGTGACAGCATCCCTGACAAGAGGTTAAGTGCATGGACCTCTGCTTCTTTTTCCTTGTCACACCAGTGCTTTTTCCTGGGATTCCTGCCACAGCCCTCTTGACTTACAGGCAAGTGTTCTTCCTTCACAGCCACCTTAAGCTGGGCAAGTCAGCTCCAAGCAACATTGCTCTGAACAGGGACAGGGGAGTGCAGGTATCCTTTATGAATATTCATCACTTATTTGGGGTGTTGTTGTTGGTCATTTATGTGTCTGAGTGTTAGTCGCTCAGTCATGTCCAACTCTGCGACCCCACGGACTGTAGTCCACCAGGCTCCTCTCTCCATGGAATTCTTCAGGCAAGAATACTGGAGTGGGCTGCCATTTCCTTCTCCAGGGGATCTTCCTGACCCAGAGATCGAACCTGGGTCTCCTGCATTGCAGGCAGGCTCTTTACGGTCTGAGCCGCCAGGGAAACCGGAGAAAACCATTGTGGGCTACAGGGACAGGATGTCAGGGAAAGGAGTGAGCAGTTAAAATGCCAGGAGCCAGCAGAGTACAAGAGCCAGAGAGCAGGGGCTGGGGCTGTTCTAGGGGTGGGAAGCAGGTGTTCTGGGCTCCAGGCCTCACCCAGGCTCCTGGCAGTGCCCACACTCCTTCTTGGAAAGAGCTGTGTATGGTAGTGGGAGCTCGGGAAGAAGCAGGTCAACAAAGAGACGGGGCCCTGGGGTTCCAGGGCCACAGGCACCCTAGGCTGGGGGGGCACCGGTGTTGGATGGAGTCAGTGTCTCACCTGCACTGAGTCTTCCTTCCTGGATGGCTCCCCGGAGAGCCACGGTGGGGTCGGTAGGGCTGGGCAGCTCACGCAGGACCTCAGAGCTGTGCTGGGCTGGTGCTCTGGGCTCACTGACACTGGGTACATAGGGCGGGAGGCTCCGTAGGGGGAGTCGGCAGGGAAGATGCGGCAGGGGCAGGGTCCTCGAGGAGCTCCTTCCTGCTGGGTTGGCTGGGGCTTCAAGAGGGATGGTTGTGATTCTGCTCCAGCCTCCATGGGAAGTGACAACTGGGATTGGCGAAGGACTGCACATAAGTTATGTCGGAATTGTTTGGAGAAGAGATTTCTTCCTTTTTTTTTTCAACTTTATATTTTGTATTGAAGTATAGCTGATTAACAATGTTGTGATAATTTCAGATGAACAGTGAAGGGACTCAACCACACTCTTGAGAGAGAAGGGTCCATCTCTTCCCAAAGAGAAAGTGGGGAGTTAAAGTGCATATTCCTCAAGGCAGAAAACCAGTTTGAACTGGTTTAGCATAGCAACTTGTATCATGTTCCTAAAGCCCAAAGGTATTCATGAAGCCTTGGACTTGGTCAAGAATCCACCTGCCAAGGCAGGGAACATGAGTTTGATCCCTGATCCGGGAAGATCCCACATGCCACAGAGCAGCTAAGCCCATGTGCCACAACTACTGAGCCTGTGATCCTCTAGAAGAGAAGCCACTGTATTGAGAAACTCAAGCACTGCAACAAAGTCTAGGTCCTGCTCACTGCAACCAGAAAAAGCCTGCTCAAAGCAATGAAGACTCAGCACAGCCAAATAATAATAAATAAATAAATAAAAATTTTTTAAAAGAGCCTCATACCTCTTGTGAAGCTATTGAGAGTCGTTATCAGGTTGGGATATTCCTTCAGGTTAATTTGGCTGAACAGTATCTTCAAAAATGACAGACTAAATGTCTTCTCCTGTTGGGTAAGAATGTTGTACACGACTCTGGATAAGGGGACCAGATTTTCCCAGGCTTCCATAGATTCCTTAAAAAGCAGAATAAAGGATTATCATAGATGATTATAAAATGGAATGGAGATTTATCACACATTTGTGGTTTTCTAAGCTGTAAGAAAGCGATTTTTGCTCTTAAGGAATTTAATGCAAACTGTGTAGCCAAACCCTCTAACATAGAGAAACCACATTTCCACATGTTTATTTTTGGAGCTTCATATATATTGAGATTTGAGTGGTTAGTCACAGGAGTTTAGCATCCTGGAAAATAAGTTTCTCTTGTGAACCTTATTTTAGGTACATTTGAGAGAAGAGAGAAATGTTAAGGAAGAAAAGTGGAGACAAAGACTGCTCCTGTCTAATTTTCCAGGACTTTGGCCAGGACTCTTTAGCTGTGGATCTACGAATTGGTCACAAGTGGCTCTGCTCTCTCTTTCCTTCTCTCATGAACTTGAAATGCCCTAAATAGGAAATCCGAGAAATCCTCCTGAGAGGTTGACCAAGACGAGAAACATGGCAGGAGAGAATTGACTGAAAAATACTTGTTGAGCAATGACTTGGTTTGGTGAGCAATGACTGGGTTTGGGTATCTAGCAACAGATAAGACCAACACGGTGCTACCGTGTTGGAGGAGGGGCGCTAGGGGGTTGAAATGATAGGCATTAAATAATAAAGACAAATAAATACCCAGTTCCTATCAAAAGCAGTGTTATGAAGGAAAGTGTAATTTGCTATGAGGAAGAATACTAAGGGGGACTTAATTAGATGAGTAGGCTAAGGATGCCTCTCTGAGGAGTGATGAGAGAGTTAATTCTTAGGTAGATTCATAAGGAGTCCAGGGCCCTCAAGGAGGAAGGGGTCCGGGGCCCTTGAGAAGGAGAAAGGGGTCTGGGGCTCTCAAAGAGGAGAAAAGGACAAATGCTTTTTTCTACATTGCTTTGTCTTAGTCACATAAGATGTTATTTTCTTTAAGTTCAGAGCTAATGATTACACAACAAAACTCATCTTGAAATCTGTACTAAGGATTATATAACAATAATGCATCTTGCATTGAGGACATGTTTCTTCTTCATAAAAAGGAACCTTCTGACTTATCTTGTTATCTTAAGACTGTATGTTGTGGGAGTGGGTCTGGTAAGACCTTTCTACTGTTTTAATCTTGTTAATTTAAGATATATGTTGTAGGAGTGGGTCTGGTAAAAGTATATAAGGCCTTGATAAGAGTAGTGGATGGGCACTCTTTTTCCCCCTTCTGATGTCTGTGTCAGAAGCTTTCTTTGTCCTTTTTCACTTTAATAAAACTCTGCTACACAAAAGCTCTTGAGGGATAAAGCCTGGTTCCTGATCCTGAAGCTAAATCTTCTTTGGAGATCACAAATCTGACATCATTCACTGTAAGCTATCAGTGACACCCTGATCATGATCTGAAAAGGGGTTGGATCCAACTGGGCCAAGACTGGGGGAAGATTGTCCTACCACTGCTAGCACTTTTCTGGGGCTCAGATTCTTAGGGCTCAATAAATGCTTTAAGTAACCTAAATTATATGGAAAGAATCTCACTTTGTCCACATAACCATATCTCCCACTGTCTGCCTTGCTTCACATCAGAATGGGCTTTGAGTGACAAACTCTTGTGGATTGAATGGTGCCTCCTTCTATCCAAAGATATGTCTGCTTGAAATCTGTGAATGAGGCTGTGTTTGGAAAAAGGGTCTTACAGGTAAAATTAAGTTAAGAATATTAAAATGAGACCATCCTGGATTATGGTAGGCCCTAAATCACAGTGACAAAGTGTCCTTGTAAGAGAAGAAAAAGAGAGAAGGTACAGTTGAGAAGGCAGTGTAAAGATGGAAAGAACGTGTGAAGTGAAGTTTCTATAAACCAGGTTCACCATGGGTTGCTGGAAGTAGTAGAAGACAGAGGAATTCAGGGAATGGATTGTCCCTGAGTCTTGAGAAGGAGCCAACTCTGCCAACACCTTGATTTTGGACTTCTGGACCTCAGAACTATGAGATAACATATTTCTGTTTTAAGCCATCTAGTTTGAAGTCACCTACCTTGGACACCTTCTTTCCTTGGTAATGACCATTTTAGTCTGGAACTTCCAAAGTCTAGAAGCTCTGGAGTATTGTGGTTTGAGACCTCAACAGTCAGGCATTCTTGGTTGGGGTGGGTTGCCATGGCAAAGCACCAAGTGACTCACCCTGTACAGTCTCTCGGTGATGAAGAAGTTGTCTCGGAGGCCTTCAAAGAAGGGAAATGGCTTGTTGATGGCATAAGCAATCTCCAGCTTCTGATGTATGAAGTGCTGAAGAAGAGCCTCTTCTAAGGCCCTGGTCATGGTGGCTATCCTACAGAAGGGGCACAAGAAGAAAGGTGAAGCAAAGATTTTGCAGAGTTAGGGGAGCCATTCTCTGTGCTGCACAGACATCTGGAGACAAGCATTCTGGTTCCCAAAAGCATCCCTTAGTGGTCCACAAAGCTACCTCTGATGAAAAGACTCATGGGCATAGGAAGCAGTGACTATGCTCAGCCACACAGAGGGCAAAGTGACCCACAATGTGACGCAGGAATCCCGAAGGGGCAGCTGGTAATAAACAGGGCCACTATGTACCAAGTGCTTCCTGTGTCCATCTCACATCTCAGAACAGACATGGCTTTTCCCATGCCTGTGGGACATCATAATAGTTGACCATTTATAGGTCATGCAAAAATATCAATAACTTATAATAGGAAGAAAATGCACCTTTGATTTCTTGAAAAATTGTTGAGAAAACGGAAGCAGTAACAAAAAATTCAATCACCTAGAGATTTTTAAAAAAGCAAAATGAACACGCATCTTTTTTTCCAACTTTGTATCGAAGAGAAAATTGAACTGTAATTAAGGAGACACAGGAGACTCAAGTTCAATCCCTGGGGTTGGGAAGATTCCCTGGAGTAGGAAATGGCAACCCACTCCAGTATTCTTGCCTGGAAAATTCCATGGACAGAGGAGCCTGGTGGGTTGTAGTCCATGGGGTCGCAGAGCTGGACATGATTGAGTATGCATGCACAATGATTTTCTAGGTATTTAATCCCAGTGGCAGATTGAGCACCCCTGTCTCTTTCTCCTCATTCCCAAATACGTTAAGTTTAACAGAAAAAAAATATATGTTGTAAAAAAACAATCATCACAACAGTACCAGAAAACAAAAGAAGATGCTATTGGGATAATCGTGAAGAAATCCTAGAAGATAGAGAACCAATGGGAAAGGAACTAACTGTTCACCATCTGCATGGGGGAAGGATATTGCAAAGATCAGCACAGAGCCAGAAAGCACCAGAATGACCACTTGCAGAGATGAGGAAGGGGCCCTGAATGACGAATTATACCACAGCATTCAGAACAGAACATCCATCATATTCCTCACTCTTCATCTGTTGTGATTGCCAAGGATGCACTTGAGGCACAGAGAGGTTAAATAACTAGCCTAAAGTATTTGGAAAAGGTCTGTTTTCATTCCAATCCCTAAGAAAGGCAATCCCAAAGAATGCTCAAACTACTGCACAATTGCACTCATCTCACATGCTAGTAAAGTAATGCTCAAAATTCTCCAAGCCAGGCTTCAGCAATACATGAACCGAGAACTTCCAGATGTTCAAGCTGGTTTT